CCACCTTCAAAGGAAATAGCATTCTTGTGCTTCTTCAGGCTGCTAGGGATCTTTCTAATCATTGGTCTCGAGAGATAAGGTTACTGCCTCAGTGCATACGGGCACTGAGGTACTTTCAGAAAAGCACGCCATTCTTTCCGCTTATAAAAGATTTCCTCCACGTCAATGCTAGTGCCTACTTAAGTAATCTTCCACAAGCTAATTTTCCCACCACCTACCAAAATCTTCCAAACTCCTAGGATATACTACCAATCTCCTGTTCATCTAAGCACCCAAGACAAGTATCAATCTGCATCTTGGAGATGATTAAGATTGATTCGCTACCACTTGCTTGGATACCTTTGAGGACACTACTTGAAGACGTCCAATGAAAAGCCTTCAAAAGACATTCACAACCCAAACAAGAGGAGAAAAGAGATTTCCTTATTTTCAACCTCTTTGTCGATGGTGTTACTCCAATATTCGTTTGTTCTGCAATCTTTTATTTGAATCTTTGTTATCTTTACTCATCAATTATATTTCCTTCTGCAAGGAAGACAGGTAAGTACTTTAGGTATAAGTTTATGAAAATGTTGGGCGTCCTTGTTCTATGCATGCCTTTACTTTATTACTTGGACTATAGATCTTTTATTTCCTCGTTTATTTTTATGTAACAGTTGGAACGAGTGGTATATTAAAATGTTTTCTGTGCATGCATTTACTTTACTACTTGGACCATAGATCTTTTATTTCCTCATTTATTTTATGGAACAGTTGGGATGAGTGGGTAGGACTTGATCGATTACTGAAGTTTACTGAAGAGAATGTGCAGAAACAGCTGGAACTCAATGAGAAGCGAGGGACTGACAAAAAGGCAGCTCGAGCATCCCAGATTAAACCCAAGAATGGTAATTGCTGGTTTGTTTAATTAATAACATATGCATTGCTGCGTATTATTTAAACTTAAGTGTAGGTTAGCCTTCAATTTAGGATATTGGAACTAAAAACAGTGCACCGATAGAGATGGAAATGGAAAATTTGGAAATTTATTCAACCTCTCCAATTATCCTGGGTGGCTGGCTCTTCATCTCAGCAGAACACAAATGCTTTATGCAGTGTATTATATATGGTTAGAAGGTAACAAAGCCTGGTCATGTAATGTATCTGGTTAGAAGGGAACAAAGCCTGGTCACTTGGATTTTTAAATAAAAAGAACTGTGGGAAGTTTCTCTGCTCTTCATAGTGTCCCCTACTCTAGTGACGTCTCTAATCGTACTTTTGCTGTTAATTTTTTTCTAAATCAATAGAAGGTTTGTTTCTCATACAGAGAGGAAGAGAGAGAGAGAACATCAGAACTTGTAAAAGAATTTGCAGATAGAAATAGTAAAATTATTAATTTAAACATGGAGTGCTAGTTTATGTATGCCAAGATTATTGACCCAAAGTAAATGTTGTTAAGTTGGGAGTGTTCTGGAAGATGACAACCTAATGTCTGATGATATCTTGGCATTTATATTGCGTGGTTAGTTCAAGGTATTAGTCCAACCAAGATGAAGCAATAACTATGATGATTGTGATGTGACTGGAAAGGACATTTGCACTTTAAGGGTTTAGCATTTAGGATCTTAACTGGAAAAGGACCATTTCTAGGTTCAATCTATAAATCCTAATATTAGGGCTATTCTAGACTTCTAGTTCTGTATCTTTAACTGTAGAGTGTTCATGGATATACTATAGTTAGTTGTGTCCAGGTTCCTTGCATTAAGAGAATGTGAGAACTTTAGAATTTAGATAAAAGAATTGTCTGATCTTGTCGCTCTTATAACCATTTCTACATTCTACAAGCATCAGCAAAAATCCCGACAAATTGAACTGTACAATATTGGAGCGTAGGCGATGCTTGTATTTTTCAGTTTATTTGAGAAACGTCTGCCAACTAGTCTGAAGATTGACATGAAGCATTATTTTTCCCGAGAAATAATTAATCTTGTTCTTGGTTTAATCTGTTCAAGCAATTATATATCTATGTGCAGTGGTAAAAGGGAGGAAGCGAAAGAATGATGCTAGTAAGGTATGCCTAAGTTAAATGTTGCTAGTGGCCCTATAAAGTTACTGAGCGCACTCTCCTTTCCCCTCTTCCCCCACCCTTGAATTATTTCTTTCATGCTTTTTATTTCATCAGCCTTTTGCTGGTTATTGTTTCTTGTAAAAAGAACTTAGCATCTCGTTTGTTTACTGGTAGGAAAAGAATGCCGTGAACGTTGAAAAGCTTGTGAGCATACAGATTCCACTTAAACTAAAGAAGCAACTAGTTGATGACAGTGAGTTTGTAACGCATCTTGGGAAGGTAGTGATATCTGCCTTGCTTTTGTCATGGCCATTATTACTTTCACAGAATCTAATGATCTTGTAATTTGGGGTTTGTTAATTATATTTTGCTGTGCAGTTGGTAAAGCTCCCTCGTACGCCTAATGTAGAAGATATCATGAAGAAATATCTTGAATACAGGCTGAAGAAGGATGGAACGTAAGTATGTTGTTTGTTACACCCCGTTCTTCATCGTCTTAATAATGCTATATGATAACAGGAAAGATGAATCCGTTGGAGAAATAGTGAAGGGGCTGATTTGTTACTTTGATAAAGCACTACCCGCAATGCTTCTATACAAAAGCGAGCGCCAACAATATGAAGAGTTGATTGTTCATGATGTCTCCCCTTCTTCCATATATGGCGCCGAACACCTTCTACGTCTATTCGGTAATACTGATTACCCTGGTTCTTATTTGCATACACTAGTGTGCAATATATGTGTGGTTAATGGTCATAATTGAAGATGCTATGCGGGCATTTTCTAAATCGCAGTTAGGTTGCCTGAGTTGTTGTCTCAAGCCAATATTGAAGAGGAGACTTTGACGGAACTGCAGCAGAAGTTAGTTGACTTGCTCAAGTATTTATTCCTCTCCTCACTACCGTGTGCTTTGAGACATTATTGTGGGTTTCTGTCTTGTTTTGATGCGTATGTTTGTTGCAGGTTTTTAAGGAAGAATCAGAACACATTTTTCTTGTCATCGTACCATGTGCCTGAGAATATGGAAACAAGCACCAACAATGCCGATGACTAAAACATGCAATCATCTTTAGATCAAATTAGCTATTCAAGCCTTACCCCGTTGTGGCGGCTTTTCATATCATTGTATATATTTCTATGTCGTCTAAACTTCATTGCGAACTCGTTAATGTTCTCATCACTGCGTTTCTGCAGAGCACTATATGAAATTCCAGCACTTTTAACTTCTTTTCCCAAGTCCATTTTTGCTTTAGTGTGTGCATAGTAGTTTAAAAGCCGACATGAGAGTTTGTCTTGTTGATTTGATCTAAAAATTCTCCACATATTACTAATTTGAACTCTTGCCTCCAGCGCAGTCCCACCCGGATGGACACTAGTTTCCAATTACATGACCGTGGAGCAGAGCAGAGCAGGGGACAGGCATTTTCCAACCCTTTATCCTCGTCCGTTTGCAGTTTGGAATGTTAGGGAGCAATTATTTTCAAAAAATGAATATAAAAAGAAGTAAGAAGAAGAAAAACCCGTGAATGAAACGACAACCCACTTTTCACCGGACCACATAGACCGTACTCTATCTGCTGCGGCGACATGAATGGGGCTCAAATCTTTTGCAGAAAGGGGCAGTTTTACTTTCTATTATTTTTGTGGTTACGTAAATGTTCATTATTTTTGGAATTACGTTGCAGTTGGGACAATCGCAGCTCATATGCATTACAGGAAGAGAAGCAGAAGCAGCGGGCCATTGGATTCTTTCACTCAGAAGTGGGGCCTTTTGAATTACCTCTAGCTTCTGCTGCTTCTGCCTCTGCCTCCGCTTCTGCTGTGAGTAAAATCTGAGGATCGGAAGGGTGTTGAATTATGAGACTCACGCGAGGAATGTGGGTTTCAATTCAGAAGGGAAGGGTGTGTAATGGGAAGCCGGGGCCCAGCCCATATGATTGTCAGCCAGGTCTGCCATGGAAGCTCCAATTTCCAATCTTTTATTAGATGAAGACAATCATACGGGGGTTTTGTTCCCAAACTAGTATCCGGCAACTGAGTTTGAATTATTTGTGGTGTGTGCCGCCAACCCTTTCAGAATTCAGAACACAGCTTACCTTACCTTTTGCTTTTGTAGACTGATCTCGAGTGTTCCATGTAGGGAAATGAATGTGTTCATCATCATGTCTCATCATTCAACTAACACCTAAGGGTCATTCAAAAGCAGAGCAGCAGAAAAGTCCTTAGTTTAGTATTAATGACTTGTATTAACAACAAAATTAGAGGAAAATCAAATGGGCCAGTAAATGTTATCTTTCTCTTTCACAATATTTGCTAGCGGTGTAATCTTATTTTCGAGTTTCTCCTCAAAATTTTAAAAGAGGTCTACTCCTGAAGTCCAAAAAAAAAATAATATCTACTTACGAGACAATATCTACCCGATATATTTGCTATTAACCTGATATACTTGGGGTTAGAAAATAAGTAACCACTAAGCTTAAAAATCTGTATTATCAACCCCACTCACCCACATCCATCCTAAATAAGTGGCAACTAACTCAAATTAGTGCTCAAAATGGGAAGAATCAGTAAATTTTCACTTTTTTTTTTTGTGCATATTACTATTTTTATCATATCAACATAAAATAATATGAATAAAGAGAGTAAATATGGCGGAAGCATTGCTTTATCACGCTTTTTTCTGACAGAACATGTTCATTTTGTTTGGGCTGTTACTTTTACTAGATTGATTTTTACTTTTGTCTTTTTATTTATTTATTATTATTATTATTTATTGCCGACAGCGGGTTCCTTTCTCTCACATGCAAACCAAACCCACAATTTGAATTGATCATATAAGAAATTAATGCGTACCCCACTCTCTTCTCTTTCCAATTTCATCACTTAATGAGCTTCAAATATTACGCTTTCTTCGACGATGGAGTGGAAACGTTACAATTAATGCCACAATTTGACTTGATCATATTATAAATTATATATATATATATATATTAGTTATTGAACGTACACTCTTGGTGTACCAGAGAAACAAAAAGTACAAGCACCTATAAGCCTGATTAAATGAACCCCAAGGGTCAACTAATTCTACTGAAAATTCTGCTTCTACGGTGGCTGTTCATCAATTTTTCTCTTCTTCGTTGCTGTCTCCGGCGACGACACTACACGGTCCACATTCTGAGTCCGACCATTTGAGCTGCACGACATGTCCACTAAACCAAATCTTTGTTTGTTTGTGTGTCCTCTCGATGAAGCCTCTATGATGAATTGTGAGCAATCTTCCACCTTATTCTACCCGAACAAACAGAGCACGACAAAAACATTATAAGTTTCGGTTAATTCGTTTGCCAAAGACGACTATAAAGGGGGAAACAGGAAAAAAGAAAGAAACCTTGTCGATTTGAAGAAAACCCAGAAGCTGATCGTGGTATTTTGCTGCGACATGGGGTTCTTTGTCGTTGATAACTTGAAAAATAATGGCGCTTGCTATCATTGATGGAAGAAAGCATACGAATCTGGAATCTGGGAGTTAAAGAGAATAATTAATGAAGACAGAAGTCAAATTTGGTGTTATTAATTATGTCGATTTTGATAGGGGCTCACCTAAAATGACAGAAAGAAGTAATCTTTCACATTTACAGAGGAATTCAGAACAGAGCTGGTCCTTGAAGCCGAGCCGTCTTACAATATAGTCCAAAAATGAAAGTGGGTTCACCGGATTCATTCTCCAAAGAAGCGTAGAGAGAACAAGAATCTCCATTCTTTTAATGGTTTTAGCTTCGAAAAAGTACCTATTTTCCTCCACCTACCACAAATTAAAAGACAACCCACAACCCAATTTTGATTTAAGAAATTAACAATCGTAAATGTGGAGATTGAATTCAAACGAGATGGGAATTGTGTTTACCTGGAGATCTAAAAGAAGGGGAACTTCGGTTTCCTCCACTTTAGCAGCGAGAGATAAACAGGCAATGGCGGTGAGATGGGTCATCCATGGCTTGTCAATCTGAAAATGGGGGCTGGACAGGAACCTGTCGACATAATCAACGGCCAAAACGGCGGTGAGGGCAGTAAAGGAGTAATGGGCATTGACCTTGAGAATCCACTCAACCGCGTCGGAGCGAGCCGCAGCTAGAGAGGGATTGTGTGGGAGAGCATCGTGGAGCTTATTTCTGTTCTCCTTTGAGAACAGAGACACCAATTCCTCGTCTTCCCAGAGAAAGTCCCTGTCCGACAAGAACACAGAATTCGGGGAATCGACGTTAACATTTATCGAGAAAGCTTCGATCTTTGGCTGGGAATGTCCATCCCCAATTTCTTCCTCCTCCTCCAAGCAGTAGAGGGAATCAAGAAAAAGTGAACCGTTTTGGTGACCTGAAATTGAATGCGCAATTGAAAGTGGGTAGCAATGCCGTTTCGCCATTCTGTAGTTTCTCATAATTTCCTCTCATATAATTCTGTTTCTCCCCAGCGCCGTCGTAAAGTGGTGGTGGGTGGGGTTATATTTGCGGGGTTAGGGGGATGATATGCTTCTGTATTGGGAGCCTCTCGTGCTTATAATCAGCAGACATAAATCATGGGCCATGCAATATAATCAATCGACACGTGACACTCGTACACAATGGCGTCGTGGGCCATGTAGACAGCCAAGGCGGTCCATGAACCAGCTCCAGCGTGTGGAGGGATTACTCAAGAACACTGTCACCATAGCTATAAATTTTGTATTATTCAAGAGAAAAGTGAGAGTTATATTGTAGTGACCTGATTGAGAGCATAGTAATGACGCGGTGTACGAATTATATTACACCAATTAATGTTTACAATGGTCCCAATTTGCTGATATTTGCTAAAGCCTAAATGGCCTGGACTTCCTAGTTCTTTGCATATATTTTTTTTTTCCCCTTCTTTATTTGCTGCTTAAGGTGAAGCATATTTAAAGCGAAAAAGGAGTTAAATCACGGGTCCTTCGTTTTTTTCACTCTCTTTTGTGCTTAGAGAGTACACAATAGTTGAATTTAGAATGGACCGCCTTAAAATCCCGACAGGTTCCATTTGCAGAATTAATAGCATAGAACTTGGGTTCCCCACACAAGAGATGCACCACAGCCAGCAATTTTCATAGCCACCTTTTGAGGTAACGAACAACTCATTTTGAATTAGTCAAACTTGATTCTGAAAGCTAATCGCCTTCGTTTACTTATGCCACTCGAGCATTTATGGGAATTGGGATTAGCAAAGTTTTGTGGTATTAAATAGAGGCAATGTCAGCGGAGGGGCATTTCCTTTTCTGCTCGAAATGCTGCTAACTGTTTAAAACATTGGAGAAAAAAGATAGAGAAAGATTAGTGAGCGGACAAAAAGGGAAGTGTGAGCAGGTAGGACAGTACAACAGCATCAATGAAGACGGAGATGCGTGGGGCAGCCCTACCAAAACCCAATTCCGAAACCCCAACAGCGAATTTTGCCATTGTTTTCTGTACATCCAACCATCAAAACCTATACTACACTCCTTTTCAGAGGGGTTGATATAAAAAAGTCTGAGAGAGAGAGAGAGAGAGAGAGAGAGAGATTCAGTTTCATCAGTTTGGTTAAGCTAAATATTAGGCCTTTTCAAAGGGGTTGACATAAAAAGTCTTGTAGTTTTAGATTTGGGCTGAAATTGAACTGCATACAGACAAATCTGATTGAACCTGTCTAAATAATCGAAGACATTCATGGGTTTTCATTATAATTCAGGAGCTTTCTCTAATCCTAAACTGTGCTCAAATCACGCAACCACGATACCTGATGATGCTGCATGTGTGCAGGATCCCCACATGGAATATTTTTTTCTTCCAGTTTTTTGCTTTGTGTCGGGTCGGGTAATAGTACACCCGTAATCATCATGGTTTCACTACCCAATCTGATTGTGGATTGGGTTGCAACAATTTTGATTTTTCTCAACAGTGCAAGCTGCAGATGGATGGCTGTACTGCCCCTGCCATTTGTGATTCTGTTGTCACCGACGTTGGACTTTTCAGTTACATGTTTCCCATGAACACCTGTAAGAATTTGAATAACAATTATTTTAGGTACAAACTAATAGATACTAAGCCGGCTAAGAATGTACATCCACGTGACTTTACTTTCAAATAATGCCACCAATTCAAGGATAGCTATTGATTGGCATCTTAAAGATCTATAATTCAATCTTTAATTCAATAATGATTGAAATCAGAAGAAACAAAGATAAAAATCCCAATAATTTCGTCGATATTTATATACCTCAGAACTTTTGAGATTATGCTCACAAACACAGTATTATTCAAAACTTCAACTGTGTTTGATCCGAAGAACATAGTATGTAACTTGCGAGGTTCAACATAAAAACCTCGGTTAGTATAATAATAAATTCATACTAAGTGCTTGTTTGACTTTTCAACCCCGAACTTTTCAGACCTTGCAAGTGAAATCCTTCAAAGAATTTCCAACCAACCAACCACTTTCTGGCAGAAGAAATTTTGTATTTTTGAAAATGGGTCGTCTCAGATTGCAATGTGGTTTTTCCAGAATGATACAGTTTTGATCTTTGCTAGCACCTAGTAAAGAGCATGTTAATGCACAAAAGCTTGTGTCATTTTCTAAAAAGCCTACACATAATGTACCCTCAGACATTGGTTGAGCTTTCAGTCGCAAAAGCAAGAGAATAAAGAAAAAGGCTTTTAGGTGCAATAGCGGTGCATGGTTTTTGACGGTAGAATTGAGAGAAAAAAAAAAAAAAAGAGAGAGAGAGAGACAGAAAAGAATTTACCCATCTTCGAAAGCAAGCACATGCAGGTGAGAGAGATATACCCAGACCACTGCTTTACCACCGTTTTGACAAGTGAAAGCCCTCCAAAGAGCTCAGCGATTCATTAGGCCGCTCGACTCTTTTGACTTGACCCGTTCCAATTATCAGCTTGACTGTGACAGGGACCCACCCTGCTTTCCTCAATTCGAAATCCAATCACTAACCTAACATGTCACCATTACACTAAATCATATCCTTCAATCCCTTTCGTTTGAACCTTCTTCATTGGCCAACTCCACGAGGCCGCTTTATGCCTTCATTTTCCCACCGCCAACATTATCCCTCATTTGCTTACAAATGTATCTTTTTTACACATCACTGTTCCTGTCATTACAGCTGCAATCATCAACCCCTTAACCTGATCATGCGCCTGAGGTTTGATTATTTCTCTTCCCTTGGATGGTTCATCATGACCCTTGCAACATGCGCAAGATCTGGATTTAGCAAGGTAGGAAGTCAAGAGAATAAAGTAAAGAAATATCAGTTTAAACTTTTCAATCCTATATTACTTTGAAACATTATCAATATTCCCATTCGACGTTCTCGAATGAACGTATACAAGAAATTCCATGGTGCCTTGAGTATCCATTATCCATAACCACAAACATAATAGAGCTGCAAGTCAATAAAGTGAAGGTTCACTTCAATGATCATCGATTCTTCTCATTCTTAAAAACTTTGCAGTGCGTCCAGGACATGCTATCTGTTACATTGACAATCTGTACATTTTTCCTTCATGTAGGTCACCGAACCATGAAGAATTGATTTAATCATTCATACATCTTTCTTGATCAAAACAAATTCAGACCACAGCTCAGCATCAACAATAGCACACATTCATCAACTACCACGTTTGAAATGTTCTCGAATAAACATCTCTGCATATGATGGATATTTACTTCGGATATATGCACGAAGACACTTTTGATACGAGAAGTCAATCCATCCACCATCGGTCCTTACAACAAAGAGGCATCTTGAGTGCCGAAATTGGGGGTGTCGATCAACCTTCAATGACAGAAGATAGCTTAAATAATTGTTTAAAATAAAGATCAATTTTAAACTGGGTAAACATCACATCTCTATAGACAATAGATGTAAGCCTTGTTGACATCAATAGTGTGATGGGAGTCCCCATTTGAGAGGGTCATTAATCACTCCACATTCTTTTCAAGAAGCCACACAGCATAAGAAAAGAAAAAACAATGCCCGGCATTTACAAAAACACTGCATACAAACAAAACTAAGAAGTTATATAATTGACTCAATAAGTTATCACTCGCTAATTCAAAATACTCAAATAAAAATTTAAAAGAAAAAATAAACCGACTAACTAACTGAAGCTGATACTTCTAAACGTTAGAAACAACCATATTCCAGTTTTGTTCTTCCTTGAGCAAACCTTCTGGATTGGAGGTCAAACAAAGTAGCGTGCACAACATCTCAAAATGAGAAGTGGGTGGGCAAAGGAAAAAAGCATGCGATGATTTTGTATGGCTGGGCAATGAAGGTAAAGTGTCATGGAAAACAGAAAATTAGGTCAGATGCAATTTTCAACTTTTGTTTATTTTTTGTGAAGGGAATATAATATTGAACCCAGGAGCCAGGCCAACAGATACAACTATCCTGAATCCAAAAGGATATAAGACAACCATTGAAAGAGCCGAAGTGGAGGACTGCCAAAGCAAGGCCATGGGCCACAGAGTTACCACATCTTACTCAAGGTGCTGTCATGCAGCAACGTATTTCAAATGTGGTTCCATTTACGACATCTTACTCAAGATTATAGTCAAGCAACACAAAAACACAGCCAGAGTCCAGTATGCTACTTTGGCAACACCAGAAGATAAGTTCCATTTACAACTGTGTCATTTCTTCTGTACAAACAGTCGCAGAAGAGAATGATAGCCCACAAAGATCTTCAATGGACACGCCAGTACCACATTACATACAGCGAAAGTATTATTAAGAGAAGCTTCAGTATTAGTAATGTATAGATGAAATTGCTTAATGACCTCAATCACAATTCAAATCTGTCCCTTATATGGAAGGAGATAGTTGTTAAATGGAGGCTATTACTTGATCACATGGGCAGCAACTTGAGGAGGCATGCAACAAATGTTATTATGTAGTCATTGGCTAGGAAGTTCATTAGATCCGGTCGTTATGAAGGGAGTTGGGCAGGCAAGTATTTTGGCAAAGATTGAGGTGCGAAGCCAGAGGTTTCTGCCAATTGCTACCATTTATTTATGTGATTTTACACGGTTTCTCTTGAACTGGAATTGAGAGAGTTAAAGGAGGGATACCTCAAATTTCTTTCCCATCTTTGTAATCCTTTTTATCTGAAGGCTATATGTACATGTAACAACTCAAACCTACGGTTAACATATATTGTCCTCTTTGAACTCTCTTCCAGGTTTCCTTTCCAAATTTTTAAAACGCGTCTGTTAGGGAAAGGTTTCTACACTCTTATAAAGAATATTTTGTTCTCCTCCCCAACCGAGGTGAGATCTCACAATATTAGTCGGGTACCTATTATCCAATTATTTTCTAGGGCTAGAGTTGTCCAATTCATTTTGTAAGTTTCTTGTATTTTAAGCTTTTGGAAACATCCACGAACCAAATGTCATTTGTTTCTTTATCAGCTTTATTTCTACACGATCTAACAAAATAAAGCATGCATATTTGAAACATAGCAAGAACTCTAAACTATTTAGTCCAGACCAAAGCATACCATAATGAATTCAAGTCCACAACCAATTTTATCTTCAGCATGTGGATGATGAGCTAGAAGCCTGTCAACCACAATTCTCTCGTCCTCTGATGTCAATCGCTCCCCATCCACATACCTGGTACAAAAAATAGAAGTCCTTAAGAGAAGGGGACACAATATCATAGGAGCAAAGTGTGATTGTAAAACAAAAACATGAGCCATATATTGTATTGAAACGTGCCTAATGAGACCATCTCATGAACATTGGCAACCAACCCTACATTGAGGAAAGCACTGCTTTTACCGGTTAAAAGCTGCTGGTCATCCACTAGGTCTCATTGGACATTACTTTGGATATCAATTGTCATAATATTATGCATTGAATACTAGTCAAAATGGAAAAGATCAAAGAGAAGCATATAGATTACAATCATGACTCCAATAAGTAACCAAATGGAAGAAGACCTTAACAAATATTATGTGAACAAATGTCGATAAAATTTCCAACAGAAATCAAGTTTGCTAATTCCAATGAGGATCAAATAGCAATGCGAGAGGCTTGAATGTCTCCCAACATGAAACTACTAAACACAGTACCCTTTTCCTCCACATCACCTACTACCAATCAAAACGGAATTACCTCAAGGGCCCTACTGCCTAACGTCCAACTGAATACTCCTCCTATAAATAAAACTGAAAGATGAGCGCATTAATTAACCAAGTCTTCCCCTAGTTATTTGCAGAGGCCGTAGAAAGTCAAATCCCAAATCCGCAAAGAAAGATAAGAAAGGGCACATAGAATAAACTGAAACCTAATTCGAATATCATTTTTCTTTCTTCTGTAATGTTTTTGAAAGCTTCCCGTAGTTGTCAGTGTAGTTGGAAAGATTCAACATTTTGGGTCTCGTATGTAAATATCAAATGCATTGATCCAATTAAAACGATTTAGCCAGGAGTTGATACACGAAAGTAGTTATCATATTGCCATGAAAACACAGAACATATACCAATTCATGTCGATTCAAATTAGAAGTAAAGAAAAGCTGATAACTGATTATCAGTTATTAAGAAGTTATAATTGTCAGCTTCATATTTACTTTTCACGTTATATTTTCATCTACCCGCTAATCAACGTACAATCTTCCATTATCTTGAGTTTATCACGCGTGAAAAGGTATTATGTATGTTTCATGGAAGGAATATTTTGGTTCATTAAAAAATGAAATTTCTAACAACGTTCTCACCCTTAAACATGTTCTGTATGTCTGTTTGTGAATTTTAACAAGATTCTTTTCTCCAATCTTGCTGTAATATAATATATTGTTCGAGACTAGGGAAGTTTCTATTCGAGCAGACCATGTAAAAAAAAACATATTTTTACTTGATTGTTTTCTCGCACAGTTCCTCAGCAACTAAAAAACAAACAGATAATGCCTATAAAATTCAGTATAAGCTTTCGGGGTAAAATTATGAACCTATTGGAGTGGATAATCTCTTTAGTGAGGGATATGACAGGCTCGACATCGCTGAGAATTTCGTCTTCCTGGTCTTTCCACTTTCGATAATCAGGCTCACACCATCTTTGGAACTTCGTTGGTTGACTGGCACCCGACACTGATGCAGTATTTTCAGCAGATGTTAAGCTCCCGTCCGGTGGAGTAGACGCCGCCGTCGCAGTGAAGCAAGAGCGGCGAGTCACCTGCACGACCCCAGAACAAAGCCCGCGATGGCAGAGCCCAAACCGCAGGAGAGGATGCCCCCGGAGTAGCAAAGAAGCAGCCATGAGGATGAAATGTTAATGTGGAGACGGTAGATCAGCTAAGGGATGTAAAACGAAGCGACCAGACGAAGCCGGCTTCGTTTCTAGGATGATGACCTAACGACCCAGGTCTACTTCACGAATGGGTTATTGGGCTCCATGGGCCGTTCGTCGGGCCCTATGGGTGTATAGCAGCGATTCCTCATTATTTTCGCCTGGCCCAACTTGAAGGCCCATTTGTATATTCGGAATGCATACACAATTTAAGGCCCATTAATCAAAGGCCCATTAATCTAAGGCCCATTGATATTGACTTATTAATAAATATGTATGGATGGTATTCATGAGGAAGGGGAAATTGATTCGGAAAGGAAATAATTTGCATAATGATTGTTTTTTAATAGAATTAAATAGATGGAAAAAAAAAAAAAAGGAAAAAGGGAGGGATCTGAGGCCACGAAGACCACGTGAGGTCCCCCGCTCCTGATTTTCCCTCACAGTGTAGGGTGGACTATTCTATTCTATTCTATTCAAAATAAAGTTGTAATGTAAAATAAACTTTTCCAAAACCCAATTGGAATTTATTTTCAAGTCCGTCATCTTGTTCCTCTCTTTCCCTCCCTCTCTCTCTGCGGACCGGAAATCAACGGAGCGACGACGTCTGAGACCCTCAACCTAACCCCGTCTACACCCTCCGCCCTGCGTATGATCCCTAATAATACCCCAAGGGCTCAAACCCAGATTGTTCCCTCTTCAACTTGCCCTGAATGGGCCAATCAGCTTCGTCGGCTGCGATTCTTAGCCGCCGCGATACCAATCATAGCCATCGATCTAAGATCAAATCGACGTCCCTAAGCTCCCCGATGCACCTGGATGGAACCAATAACTTTCAGGTAATACTTCATGGAACATCCGACTTCATTTCCGATCTTCCGGATGAGTGCTTGGCTTGTATTTTCCAATCCCTCAGCTCCGTCGACCGGAAGAGCTGCTCTCTCGTTTGTCGCCGGTGGTTCAAAGTCGAGGGCCAAAGCCGTCACCGTCTCTCCCTTAAAGCTGAAGCGGATCTTTCCTCCATGATACCTTCCCTTTTTACTCGATTCGATGCTGTCACCAAACTTGCTTTGAAGTGTGACCGTAGGTCTTCGAGCATCGGAGATGACCCTCTTATCCTCATCTCCCTCCGATGCCGTAATTTGACTCGTCTTAAGCTTCGTGCGTGCCGTGAATTGACCGATGTTGGCATGGCTGCTTTTGCCCAGAACTGCAAGGGTTTGAAAAAACTCTCTTGTGGATCTTGCACATTTGGAGCCAAAGGAATGAACGCTATTCTTGATCATTGTTCCGCCCTCGAAGAATTATCAGTGAAGCGACTTCGAGGTATCACTGATTCGACTGCTGAGCCGATTGGGCCTGGCGTGGCTGGGTTATCTCTCAAAACTATTTGCCTGAAAGATCTTTATAATGCACAGTGTTTCGGACCGCTATTAATCGGTGCTAAAAGTTTGAGAACTTTAAAGCTCTTCCGATGCTCAGGAGATTGGGATGCTTTGCTTAGCGTTATATCAGACCGAGTGACTAGTCTTACTGAAGTCCATCTCGAAAGGCTTCAGGTAAGTGATGTAGGCCTCTCGGCGATCTCAAATTTCATGGATCTGGAAATTCTGCACCTTGTTAAGACCCCGGAGTGTACGAACCTGGGCATTGTAGCGTTAGCAGAACGATGCAAGCTCTTGAGGAAGCTGCACATTGATGGATGGAAGGCAAATAGGATTGGTGACGAGGGTTTAGTAGCAGTTGCAAGAAACTGCTCTAACCTTCAAGAACTGGTTCTCATCGGAGTGAATCCCACGAAGGTGAGCCTGGAGATATTGGCCTCGAATTGTCGAAATTTAGAGCGGTTGGCATTGTGCGGAAGCGATACAGTTGGTGATAGTGAAATCTCCTGCATTGCCGCAAAATGCATAGCACTGAAAAAGCTTTGCATTAAGAGTTGTCCTGTTTCGGATCAAGGTATGGAAGCGCTTGCCGAAGGGTGCCCAAATTTAGTGAAAGTTAAGGTTAAAAAATGTCGAGGAGTAACTCCAGAGGGTGCAGATTCGTTGAGGTCGAGTAGGGGATCGCTGGCCGTGAATTTAGACAGTGGTGAACCTGAAATTCCAGATGCAAGTGCAAGTGATGGTGGGATACAGGATAATGTTGTTGATTTTCATCCGATTCCAAATCAAGTTGCGCCTCCTATGATTGCATCTAGCAGTTCTGGGCGATCATCGTCACTAAAGTCAAGGTTAGGCCTTTTGGCGGGGAGGGGTTTAGTTGCTTGTACACTGAGAAGGTGGTCAGGTGGTAATAGTAGTTCTCGAATTAATAATTAGATATCAGGAACGAAGCAAGTTACAAAATGTTAACGCTTCTGGTCTTGTTCTTCTGCATTGTTTTCTGGTTGTATTGCCTTGATTCCGTGTTTAATGTATCTCATTTCCATGCTGTTTGCGCTGCTTATTCCCCCGCGTCTTGGAGTTAAATATTCATGCTCCCCGCTTTTTTTCATAATATTGGAACCTATTCGACTGATAGATGCGTGGTGCATGCCAGAATCTATTAGTTTATGTGAGATCCTATGTTGGTTGGAGAGGGGAGTGAAGCATTCCTTGTAAGGGTGTGGAATACTCTCCTTAGCAAACGCGTTTTAAAACTGTAAAGTTGACGGCGATACATAACGGTCCAAAACGGACAATATCTATTAGCGGTGGGCTTAGACTATTATACTTTCACGTTCACTACTCTACAATTGCTTTCGTTTATCTGCAGCAATTGGTAGACACTCTTGAGCTATGTATCTGACTCCAAATCCTTACAGGCACATCCTAGAAGCTGCAGATGATTTTGAAAATTTTAGTTCTATTCACATTCCTCGACATCTTTAAATGATGTTATAATCAGCATCTCCATTAGGAATACCTTTCTTTGATGACCAAGTTATGATGAACATAATATTCATTTCTTTGACTGACCATTTTCAGTAATATAACATGGTGATATGCTGGTTCATTACTTTCTCACCGTGCTACCTTGACTATGTCCAGTTATTCTCATGTGGCTGTGAAGGCCTTTGAAGTGTTTGTTTCAGTACACTAGATATGACAACCATGTTACTGCGAGTGATATGATCACTCCGCTGGATGTTTCAGTCGGTATTGGGAAGAACTACCAGCTTTGATATCCTCTACGAACAGACCCATTGGCTCATGACCGATCCACAAGTGTTGGCTTGTATACTGTCTTCACGAACTGATGTAGTAAGTTATGTTTAATAACTTTGGTTTAGTTGTTTTGTTGTCAGATCTTATGGTTCATCTCTTGGATTAAATACTTTCGAATCATAATAAACTGCCTTCACCATGTTCTGGGAGAATTCCTTCCTTCAGAAGGCCGGCAACATGATGATGCCCGGTATCACAATCGGCTATATAACATGGAGCAACGAAAGAACGTTGCCATTTTGCCTATTCAAATGTTTGATCCATTTATTGATCTGCATATGATTCTGATCATCATTGGCCCATGTGGAAATTGCCACTGCAGTTTGTTTACGAGACTCTATGTTAAGGAGACAAAGGTAGCTTTTACAGCTTGCTTTGCTTTGCTATATGTTCCATATACATTTGTCATTATTTTCAGTGGAAATGTTACAGGAGGGAGGGGAACTCATTTGTTCACTGGAAAATCGAGGTTTCCTCAATTGTGCTGGTGAAGGTATTCTTAACTTGAAGCATGTGTTTACTTTCTCTGGATTATGATGAAGTTGTACCAAACGGAAAACTAACATCTGGTTGAATGGAGTTGTGCAATGGAATCTTCCCCGAAATGCTTGTTATTGCTCTAGTTGTTAATTGCATTGTTGATACACGATATCTGTTCACGTTAATTGTTAATTGCATAGTTGTTAATTGCATAGTTGTTAATTGCATTGTTGATACACGAAAACTAACATCTGGTTGAATGGAGTTGTGCAATGGAATCTTCCCCGAAATGCTTGTTATTGCTCTAGTTGTTAATTGCATTGTTATTAGAACTGCCCGTTTCCCACATCTATTGGAGTATTTTTAATGCATTTGAGCTGTACAGAGTTGCAGAATGCTGACCTACAAGTCCTTTTCTCTGCGGTCAAACATTACAGCTCCGGTTTCTTGTTATTCAAAACAATTTGATTGAAGTTGCAACATAATATAAGAGAGACGGGGTAAGGCCGTCAACCCTATTAATAATTGCTTGAATTGATACCTATGCTTGTCCCCCCCACCCCCCCCGAGGAGAAAAATTAATGAGGTGGTGGGATTGGATTAGATCTCGTAGGTGCAGTAATTCTTGGGTAGAACAAAAGTGTGATTGTTGTATCAATCTTTTTCGCAGTACAATATCGTTGTGGTTTCTGAAATGGTTGAGATATTTATGGCGCTTTTGTTCCTGGTTTTAATGAAATCATGACTCAGTTTTAAAGGAGATACCATCTTAATTTAAATTTTAGAATTCACTTTTGGTCTTTGTGAGGTCTGTTTGTTTGCCAGTTTAACTTGTCCGTATATCAAGTAACGCTACAATGTCTATACAACCACTAACATTTTGTGCCAGTTGCATAGAAGAGTACCATGTGTAATGGAGAAAGTGTCAAGTGAAGACCATACTAGATACCCTTATCATCCCAGGATTGAAGGCTGTTCATAATTGAATGTGATATTTTATTAGAATTGTAGGATTGAAGGCTGTTAATAATTGAATGTGATATTTTATTACAAAACAATTCGGGGTTGGGTTTATTTTTGGTCAAAAGGTCCTCTAATTGAGCATCTTTTTAGTTCTTGACTTCAAGCATTCATCTTGCTAGAATCTTTTTTGTTCCTTTTTGGGTAGAAATAAAGTGCCTTCGACACAGGTCGAATGGGCATCTATGATTTCCAACTAAATGCCAAGGCCCAATCAATACTACGCTTCGCTGCATATGATTTATGAATCAATTAATTAATTAATTAATTAATTCAACTCCTCTGAGACATTCTTCTTAAAGCCATAAATAATACATCAACTGAAAGCCATCGCTTTCAAGTTTTACATCACTCAGTACTCCCATCACATTTAAACTTACCTTTGATTGCCCGCCACTACTTAAAAATGGTGATAAGGAGTCTAAGAATAATTCATAATTGAAGAACAAGAATAGATAAAACGTAGCGCAGTTCTTCTCAAATTTAATCATAAATCTGCAACTCCTGAAAGTTTGATCCGCCATATGAGGTAGTTTGAATAATTTGATTGCCAATCTATTTTCAAAAGTGATTGCTAAAGTTGTTATTTGTTAGTTTAAATAAGGTTGCAATCTATGTTATTATAGTTATGAAAAGAACTCCCTGTTGTGATTGAGAGATTACTACAGTTACATATCGGATTGGGCCACGTTTCTAGGTGAAAGATGTGATAAAGGGCATTGGAGTTGTCATTTGCGGCTGGGCTTGAGCAACATGCACGGAAGGTGTTTGTTATAATGCCAAATCCAAAGAGGTGGAGAATGGTGGTAGAGGGTCAAGCCACGGGTCTAGATTATTATCATTGGAGAAGTACACACTAAGTTCTATCCCCCTAATTTCTGTAGCTGTCGACGTATATTTAGCTGCTTCAGTAATGGGGGCATCTTCCCAACATTGTGTTTCTTTCGCCAGAACCAGTTGCCCCATCTAATGTCCTATTATCCACGCTTTGAAAGTGATAAAGGTGCAATAAGACATTATCCTTTATTATATAGGGTACTGTTAGCTTGGCATTTATGTGGCTGCTTTCAGGTTCAAAGATTGCAAATGCGATACATCTCAAGGATGCCAATAGAATTGATTGCAGCTCTCCATATTGCGTGGGTGTGGTTGTCTTTGGTCACTCGTAGTGAATGGACAAAAGATATTTTTTTTCACCTCCCATTTAGCTGGTTCGTGTTCTTTACACTGTTGTAGCATCTTTGAAACGCATTAGATTTGAGATTTGTTATATATTAGTACTTTTTACAGCTATCTTCCTTTCTACAGTGCAGGATAGGGTGTCTGCAAATGGGTGGAGGGGACACACTTTGAAGGTGCATGGTGCTCCTTTCCCCTCATAAATTCGTGTTGGACCAGTTTTTTTCTTTCTTTATGTCTTTCTTTGTTGTTTACTGTGCTAGATTTGTAAACTCTCAGCATGCTAAATTGACTGTCTGATAATCAGCTATCACTAACTTTTGAAATTTGAAGACGACATGCATCAGTTTAAACAACACTTAATTGGCATTTGATTAATTACTTGCTGCCAAATAATTTGGACGGATGCAGTATAATTATTAGTTATAGTTAGGTCCTTTTGTGTTCGATTAGCCTTAAACACAACACATTTGCTTGAACAATTATCATTTTCTCACTCAACTATTTCTAGACGCAGCCAACTGAGAAAAGAACAATAATTGTTGAAGGGCTAAGGTTGCCGATGGATATATGTTATGCCAGCTAAGTGATGTTGACAAGAGAAGAAGATTTACCTCTCGGAAAGGATCCTTCTATAATAATTTTCTAGCCCCGATTTCATGCTTACTCCTATGTGATTCCTTCAAGATCTACCGAGTGTTTGTGAAAATTTATCAACTTTTTAAGAACTTAGTTGCTTCTTGTAGAAAATTTAGCCGGTGGGTTTGCAGCAAAGCAATTGATACCATGGATTGCTTCTGTCAAAGTAAAGAAAGCATGAAACTTGAGAGAGTAAGAAGACCAGAGCTATCTTGTGTCTTATATGGTGGGCCGACGTAAGGACGAAGTTTGGTGCGATTTGAATCCAATGGAGCTTTCAAACTTTTGGAGGACCACATCAGCTACAATTGACAAATTGTTATGTATGCATTTGCTGGTAATGAGTGTTAAATGATTTGTTTTTTGGGAAACAGAACCTTGGATTATATATAGATATATTCCTTAATATTTGCATGTTTGGCTTTCCTGTCCCTTAAATTATATTAGGATGTTGCACTGGAAAGATCCTTCAACGTTTATTAATGTGCAAATCAAGAGTTGAAATAAAATTACTTTTTTGGTGGGGAAATGAGTACCACAGCATAAATATTTTGTATAGCGAGGACTAGGAGGAGGTTGAAGCGTGTTTCCCACACTAAATGCCAGCGAGTAGGTATAGTAAGTACCATGATTGCTCCTCCCCATTTAATGGTGAAGAGAAAGACGAGTACAGAGCCAATCGGTTTTCTTTCAGTAAAATGGAAAGTGGCCTTCCCATGCTTAACTGTCTGTTGCAACACACTTTAAGGAGTTTATGTTTGTCTTCAGACTCTTGTAGCTCTACCTCTTCTAAGTGGGTTTATGCCATTTTCTGGAGGATCCTCCCTAGAAACTTTCCTCCTCCCAAGTAAGAAAACTAAGAACTCAAACCCCCAAGGAGAAGTGATCGATGGATGAGTTGTATTCTAATTCATCAGATATTTTTCCCATACTTTGCTTTGTTGCAGGTGGGAGTTTGGTGGGAGTGCTCTTGATCGCTCTAAAGGAAACAAGAGGAACTGGTATGTATGAACAAAGATGATACTCTTGTTAGAATTGACGACTGCTTAGTGAGTTCATGAGTTGCTTTTCTTTCAGGATTCTTGTTTGGGAAGATGGGTTTTGTGATTTCCATGAATGTGAAAGAGCAGCAGGTGGGTGTCTTACAGGGAGGTTTGGAGTTGATCTCTTCTTCAAAATGTCTCATGAGGTTTACAGTTATGGAGAAGGGTGAGAGAATTCGTACATTCATTTAGATCAACCTGTTGGATAAGTTCATACAGAATCTATATGTCCCTGGCTGCAGATTAGTGGGAAAAGTTGGAGCTGAGAATAATCATAAATGGGTTTTCAGAGATAGCGCAACTGAAAGTGATCCGAACCTCGTCTCCTCATGGAACTCATCCATTGAGCCTGTAAGACAACTTTTTCCTTTTCAGTTCAATTCTGCGCATACCAGCTTTCTTGACGTTTCCACTTTGTTCATGTACAGCAACCTCGAGCCTGGGAATCTCAGTTTAAATCAGGCATTCAGGTTACTATTCTACAAATTTAGCTTGCTTTAAAGCAAAACACTTCCAGTTTATCCGATACTTCTTTTTGTAGACAATTGCAGTCATTGCTGTACGAGAAGGCGTAGTTCAACTGGGCTCTTTTGATAAGGTTTTGCTTGGTTTTTCCTTCTCTTAGGTAGCGTTTTTCCAGGCTACACAGATTGATGGCTTGTTCTTTTCAGGTCCCGGAAGATCTCAATTTAGTCATTAATGTACAGAGGAAATTCAGCTACCTGCACAGCATGCCAGGTATCTTTGCTGTTCAAAGGCCCTACCTTCCTAGCCAACATCCATACGTTTTAAAGCCAGATGTCCAGATGATCGAAAACCAATCCACTGGGTTGAAGAGATTGTTCAGCTCTATGCTTGATGAATCTCCTATCAAATCCATCAACTTAGGCTGGAACACCCCACATCCCTTGGCCTCTGGATCGTCAGTGTGGCCAATCCCACCTCTTCTTCCTTCCACTTCATGCGGTTTTGGAACTTTTAAATCAAAGATTCCTTCTAATGGCACCCCGCCTTGTGAAGTCGATGATCGTCCCGACGCAGTTCAACTAATGTCCATTAACCACCCGAACCTGAATACAATGAAGGCTACCAACTCAGAAGTAAAGATAGAAATCTCCAGCCAGTTAGATGCAGCTCAAGAAACAGAAGAGAAACCAAGTTGCTTAAATCCTAGATTCGGGTTTGGAGAGACAAGTCAGAATGGTCAAAGTCTCAATTAATTAGAAAAAGTACCTTCTCAATGGCATCAATTGTCACAAAAAGGATGAGTTTGGTACTTGCATGGATTTGGATGGTTGATTAGCATGCACCCAAATTGTATAATCACTGTTTTTTGAAAAATATCTAGATACTAAAGTAGTATTATTATCAAACAAAGATGGCACTATATTTCATCTGTGCCTCTCCAAGTTATCAGAGGAGTATGAGTATAACCGTCTAAACCCACCGCTAGTAGATATTTCTGCTTTGGCTCGTAACATATCGTCGTCAATCTCACGGTTTTAAAACGCATTTGTTATGAAAAGCTTTTCACACCCTTATAAAGAATGATTTGTTCTCCTCTCCAAGTAAGATCCGAGGTGGATTGAATATATGTGATAGTGTTGAATATATGTGATAGTGATGATAATGGGATCCATCCACTCATTGAGGGAAGAGTGGGGTAACACTCGGATGGTGTATCCCATTCCTTCCTGCAGGCAGTCGTAGTGCACCACAGGCAATGGTCCCCGGAAACAAATTGGAAGCGAGAAACATGACAAGAGAGTGTTAGAATTTGGATCAAGTTGTCTTTGACATATGAATACCATCACCCGACACAATGGATGGTCCCAGCTTTAAGTTTTCTTTCTTCTATTTCTCTTTTTCTTGTTTATGGGGCTATGATATGAATACGAGTTGCTTGTGGGGTTGCTTCTTATTTCATTGAAAGCTGCTGATGAGTCCCATTGTCTTTGCTAAGATCTTTGGAAAATGATTTTCTTTCTCTGAACTGTTTGTGGGAATTATTTTGTTGCCTAGATATTTCAATGTTGGAATAATTCTCTTTTTTCAATTTGTCTTTGATTCATGTTTTTGTGAAGGAAAGACTACTGATTCAATGAAATGATACAGCAGATCATAATTACGGGACAGCCACAATTGGCCTGAATTCAGGATTTGACACAGAGACAGAGTGCTAATATAACTTGACAGCAATTAGTCTCTGTTCCAAGTGTTCATATACGTCCTATATACAGTCATCGTGTGCTAACTTACTCGACCATTGAGCTAAAAGGTGCGAAGCCAGGAGGCGTACAATATGAGAAATACAGGGCTTGGAGAGTTATTGATTCAACAGTAACAAGCCTGTCTTTCATCCTTAGCCCCCACCAAAGCTGGCAACCTTTTTAAGCACTGCTCTTCCCAACACTCACACCTCCTCCAAGTGCCCACGATGGTTTGGCTACAGCTGCAGTGCGCCTCATCGCCTTCACTCCGAAAACATCATTCTTGCTCTGCTCAACAAAAAATATAAGTTCAGTCTTCATCAGACGTTTACCCCTTGCATTTTGACAAGATGCATATGAAAATGGAAATTGAAGCCACGTACCTTCAAGCAGGTTCCAGCACGGACGTCACAGACGGGGTAGTCATGGGGGCAGCAGCTGTAAAGGTCATCACAGCAGGTGGCGCTTTCCAGTGGGCAGCATCCCCATACAAAGCATGTGTTTGAAAACTGGAAGAGGCAGCAGCAAGTTTCTGCGGCGGGACAGTCGTAATATTCATCGCATACAGTTGGGGGTTTCACCGGAGTTGGGGGTTCCACCGGACTTGGAGGAGTCGGGCCTGGATTAGGTGGGTTTAGTCCGGTTTTAATGGGGTAAGAAGGCTCCATTGCAATCCCACAGAGACCTTTTGGGGAAGCGACGTTACGTTGCATCCTGATGTAGCCACTTTCACCCCAGCTCGCACCCCATGAGTTTCTCACAATCCAGTAATCGACGCCCCCTTCAGACCCATATCCAACCACATTAACACCATGATCCAAATCTGTCCCACATCTTCCAGTGAATATACCCTGTACACATACACATACAACAAATCAGACCCTCTCTCCAAGCGTACAAAAAACAATAATAATAACCAAAACTTCATAGAAATGGATGTTATACCGATCGATATAGCTGGAAACTTCTACCTCCCCCTTCAATGGCAACAGCCACAACCTGTTTAGCTGCTGCTTTTTGCAGTGCTTTTTCATTGTTTACAGGGACGTCTTCATAATCATCGATTGAAACGACCCTAGCATTTTTCTGAAGAAGACAAACACAATAGAAATAAAGACAATCAGATATCAAAATAAGCTTCAGCAACTCAAAATGGAAAAAGAAAGTTTGAGTAGCAATAGAGACCTTAGATTGGATGCAGGTGCTATCATAGCCTTTATAAGGATAATCTTCTTCAGTATCAATGCCGCCATTGTTGATGATGAACTCGAAGGCATAGTCCATTAAGCCACCATTGCAACCTTCGTTGTAAGAAATGTCACAATCCACCAGCTCCTGTTCTGATAATGCTACCAAGTCGCCTGTAACAATCTGGTTTATGCTTTCCACGGCAGCTATAGTTGAGAACGCCCAGCAACTCCCTTCATATCAACTTCAACAATTAGCATACTTGAAGCGACCAATGTTCAAATCTCATATAGTTTATGTATGATATACTTCAGAGAGAATAAGTCAAGAAAACGTTTATTCTCGCTACATCTTTTAAGAACTTTACAAAAGGTTTCAACTTTTTATCTCTCAAACATTCTAATTCTATATTTCCTAAAACAATCGATGACAAATTTAATAATTAAAATGAGTGTGGTGTTATCAACAACTGTTAATAATTAAAATGAGTGTGGTGTTATCAACAACTGAGATTATTATTGTTATTTGGTCAAAATCTCAGCTTTCATTGAGATAATATAATTGCCAGTCATAAAAGTTGCACATAAAAATCAAATCATGTGATTATATGATTTAAAATCGAAATATTTTATAAATAATAATTAAGAAAGAATGGCAAGTAAAGAAATAACTTTTGTGAATCCTATACTGTTCATAAATATTTGGAGGAAAAGAAAAACAGCCATTCAAATATATCGTGGTTAAAAAATTTCAGAAGAAATATATATCTCATCATTAAATCTCTATAGAAAGTGCGGGGCCAGTGCGAGTTGAAAGTAAAGGCAGGTCCATTCCACGAGCAACTCATAAAGATTCTGTGCCCTCATGTTCTTTCCTATAATTAGTCAGATGGTTACATATAATTCAAAATTATCAAAACAGATGTTATGCTATACTAATGATTAATGAAGGAACACCAATTTTATTCATGAAATCTAAATTTAAGAAACAAACAATCAATCCTCCTATAATGATCGATCATCAGTCCATCTTTCAACATAATTATAACCATTTGCAATTTATACTAATTACTGAAAAACTAAGTGAATGAGAGCGCTTTGTGTGTATGTTTGTGTGCGCCAAATATGCAAAAGCGAGTAAAAATAGGAAAGCTATAGATGAAGAAATTGGAAGAAGGCGAGAAAAATGGAACTTACCACAACTTCCCTGATCTTTAATGGGAGCGACGGCTCCTTTCTCCCTCCAATCGATGGAGTCCGGGACTTCATCCCCAAGGCGAGGCTGATAGCGGCTGCTCGTCTTGTTTCGCCTTGAACCAGCGGCGATTTTAGCTCCCAAGTACTTGGATCGGTACTCCTCGTTCGTCAGATCTGCGAACACGTTCAAACCTAATCGATAGGGCAAATTTTGGGCGTTAATTTCATCGATGTACTTGAGATTGTCCTTGAATATGTGGAATCGATTCTGGCTTTCTGGTCCCAAGTGATTGTGCAACTTCCCGTGCTTGGCACGCCACTGGTCGTAGAGCGCCATCACTTCCTCATCCGTCCTCTCGGGGATGATCGAAGAGGGCAACGCCGACGGTAAAGTTACGAGGAGGAAGACGAGGAGAGGCACAATGGGGGAGGATCGGCATGTTCCCATTTCTGTAGTTCGTCTGTGTTCTTGTTTATGCTTTGATGAAGAAAGTGGATGTTTATATAGACAAATTAGTGTTCATCCACGCATATGAAACATGGAGTTAGAATATCTGACGGGGCCGAATGGGACGAACACAATTGTCTACAGAGCTACGGAAGCTGACCCCAGCCCCTCTCTCTAGATATTTACACCCAACATCTCCTTACTTCTGGGACCTTGGTCATTGCTACACATAGATTTTCCCTCTCTTTTAATTCATATTGTTTCATGGACTCTAAGATCCACCGGTGGATTGGGCGGTGAGCCATCAAAGACACTAAGCCCTGAACAGGGTGGATAACATTTCAAATACGATTGAAATTTTATTTTCTTTTCATCAATTAAATATTTAATATTATGATTCTTAAAAAATAAAAAAATAAATATAAGTGGGATTATCAAAGTGTAATAATTTAGAGTAGAAGCTTCAATAAACTATACATAATTTCGAAACGAATTAAAATAAAGTATAAAGTAAATAATAGAAGCGGATAAATTGGATTCGAGCGATTCAGGACTGCCCACGTGATGATGAGATCGAATGGTTTACATTGAGACGGATAGCTAGTGGGCCCCACTTGCTGCATTACTATTGGTAGATGCACATTGAGGCTATTACGCCATGATATTATTACTGCTCTTGCCCCTGCCTGTTGACAATTCCCATCTTCCTCTTTACCCCATTTCTGTAATTTACTCCCTCACTTGATTGTATTTAATTAATAATCAAATCGAGATTCCACTCGGGATTAAGACATTTGTTCCTTTATTTTTAATATCTTTTGCGGGACATCAATACAACTTTTATCTTTTTTAATTAATTTCACAAACCCTCTTTTCTCGTATTGAAATTGTTTTATTTTATATTTTCCAAACACAAACTGTAATTTTAATTCATTTAATAATTTCCAATATACCAAAAATGTCCTTATCAGATTACTATTATTATTTCATTATTGATATTTGGTTGGGACAAACATGTCTTCTTCCCAAATGTTGATATTTAGCTTTCTTTTTTGTTTGGCCCAAAAGTGGATGGTGCGACATTTCATTTCGAATTATCTGTCATTTCGATTGTATCATCGTGTTCTTTTTTAGTTAACCTATCGATTGCATACGACACAACGAACAGTGGAGGAAGTTTGCACGCAACTAATCTCTCTCGAACGTAGTTTGTCAGCCTTTTTTTTTTCTTTTTTGGATAGTTGGTTGATATAGGGCTGATGGGTATTTTTTATAATTTAGAAAAAAGGAAAATATTTGGGTGATTAAAGT